ATTTGACGTGTTTACTCAACGATAGCTTTAATTGTGTCGATCTTAGGCAACTGAGATTTTTACCACTTCTTCCCAAAACTCTTATGAATAGGATGGTATTTTTTTAATTGAGTTTGATGGTTTAATTTTGAAGAAATTAATTGTAAATTATAGCTAAGTGATTACTTCTTACATTTTAACGTCCTTAAATTTTCACTACGCGAGAAACTTTTTTATTATGGAAGGAAAGCACACACATGAAGCGGATGAAATGCACAAGAAGTCCAAACTTTAATAAGAGACCAAACACATTTCTGTAAGAATCATGGTTCTTGAGTTAGACGGTAATAAAAACAATATTTAGTGTGCTCGGAACGAACATCGTATGTCGTTCGGAGACTTTGAATACTTTTCAGCGATTCACAACTGGCCATGTGGAAGGAAAAATAGAGTTTTTTTTCTTTCGAATTTCATTTATTAAAACAGTGATATACATATAAAGATATCTAAAAATAAATTAGGAATTTTACAGTAAACAATATTAAAGTCAAAGTTATTCAACCAATAATTCTGTCTTAAAATTTCAAATGCAAATATGTGAGGAATTTTTCGCTGGAGTTATGAAAACAATATTATGTTATGTCCGCACAAAGCTTTGCAGTACCTGATACTATTTATGTTATGTGACTTTGTGAATGGGCATTTCCCTTTATTTTACATTAAACTAGTCTGGTGGTCTTGGTTTGCTATATGCCACATGCTACTTGCCACATATTTTTGGCAGCTGCCATCTATCGCCGCCCAACCAACATTTCTTGACATTTTCTTAATATTTTGGTTTCATTATACTTGATCGGAAATATTTTTAAGAATATTAAAAAACATTAAAATCTCGTCTTAAATTGCAACTTTTTTTTGAAAAAATTGGAGCCGTTTTTAAGAAAATGGCGCAAAAGCGCTACAATAAATTAAAAATTTGAAGTTCTTTTTCACAGAAAATTTTTGAGTTTTGAAATGACTCATTTAAAGTCATTTGAAGCATATTAACACTAAATAAATCGGTTTTACAAATTGTTGGAAATATACATATTACCGGCTTGGTAGACCTTACAAACAAAATACATTTCTATAATTTTTCAAAAAAGAAAAAAAATACTCTGAAATGAACCTTATGTTATATGAGAGAGTGCAATTAGCACTATACTTTCAAAAAGTTTGATGAAAATATTTTGGTGTCGTTTTTGAGAAAATAACGCTTGAGCGTTTCTGAAAATGCGAAATTTTCGAGAAACTTTGTTCGAAATTATTTAAATCACATATATTCATAAATATAATATAAACCAATTGCCGTTATTGTGAATATTAACGAGGTGAAAGAAAGTAAAAAAACCTTTTTGTAATTTTGTAAAAACAAAAATAGAGCACTGTAGACACTAATAGAGTTAATGTCATCGTATAGAGTGTATTTAGCACTATTTCTACCAAACGTTTAAAGAAAAAATTTGGAGTCGTTTTTGAGAGTCTTGTTTTTTTAACATTTTAATATTTGACATATTGCACGCAATATTACGCGAAACCTACTAAAATTTTCAAAAAAAAGCCACAAGACCTTAATGAAAGAACTGACTATGGAGAATAAATTTTTTTGAAGGAAAAGTATCTTTCATTTTGTAGTTGTAGCAAATCACCGCAAAAAATCATATTTTTGAAATTTTCGAAAATTCAGAGTTAACCGTGAAAATCGGACCTTTGCTGCTTTTATAAGTGTATTTTATTCTATTCTTACAAGAAATTTAAAGAAAAAAATTGGAGACGTGTTTGAAAAAAAATTGAAAATGCCCGGAGGGCTTTATGTAAAATACCCCCACATTTTAAAGAATTGTTTTGAAAATCTCAAAGATTTGACTCAAGCCAGATCGGCACGGATTTCTTTAACTTTGAAAAAAAAACCTACGCATGGTATAGGCGCTAGTAGTGTTCACAGATAGCAGACGGACAGACGGACAAACGGGCGGACGGGCAGTCGGGCATTTTGGAGAAAAAATCCCGGCATTAGGAGACCCCAAAACGTGTATTTCCGTAGAAATCTAAACATCGGTTTTCCGCACCATTACACCTTTGCCTATGCTACGTATTCCGTATATACGTACGTACACGGGAGAGTAAAAAGGGGATAAACTGGAAGTGTAAAATGACTTGAGAGTGAAATCCAATATATTTAAAAAAACATCTTTAATTTCTAATATTATGTGATGTATTTAAAATGTTTTGAAGTGATTTTCGTCCAAGAGGTATGCCAATTTTCTCCAGGCTTGTAGCCCGTACGGAAGATCTGCAGAGAGCTTGACATCCCCTGCCGCTATCCCGTGTTGCTTATTAATACAAAAGTATCCAAAATGACTTTGTCTGTGACCTCACTCACAGACTGGCGAAACGTGAAATGTCGATGTGAGTCGTCTGGAAAAACTGCACCCCTTTCGCCGGACATCCGGAGTTGAATGGGCACCAAACAGTACTCAACATCTCGTCATGCAAAACTCACATACTATTCAAATTTTCAATTGCTAAAGAGAATTAGAAATAGTGTTTTCTATCATCTATCAACCGGTATCACGTTTCTAGAGCGTTCTTTCACATAAGCATTCACATTTCTTCTTAGCACATAAAAATGAATGTTTATGGATTTTGAAAGCTGCTGAACCAACTGGTAGAGTTTCTTGTCAATCCAGGTACCCAGCACGGCGAGTGTTGGGTGTACGCTCTGGCCGAGAAGTGGCAGCGATGTTCGTTATAAGGGCTGCACAGCAATCCAATGCTGGCACGGAAAACCCGGCCCGGACGCGAACGGCGGAACGAATCGCCTTCATCCTGTGCGTTGCGCGCCAAGGCCCAACGGCGCGACGTCCGTGTGGAGCAGGGGAGAGTGGGGGGGGGGAGGTGGGCGTAGGGCAGGGGTGAGGGCGAGGGGAGGGGGGAAGAGGGGAAGGGGAAGTTGTGGATGTCGAGAGCCGCGGCGGCGACGCGGGCCGGTTGGGGGGGGGGGGGCAGGGTGGCGAGGCCGACGCAGCCGCAGTGGACTTTGGAAAATGAGGTTTCGCAAGTTTAGGAGGCTTTGGAGCGAGGGCCGGGAGACAAGCGACGCTTACGAAGCGAGAGATACGAGGAACGAGAGAGAGACGGTGTCCGAGAAGAGTGAGGGGGAGCGGACGAGCAGTAAAGAGAAGAAACGGGGGCGAGAGCAGCAGGAGGAAGAGGAGATGAAGGGAAGTGAAGACTGTGCGCGTCAGGGAGTGATGGAATGCAGCCTGGATTGTTTTACTGCCGGGAATAATCCGGCTTTAATGATCTCCTCTGCCTTCCCTCCGCCGAAAGGAATGCAGGCTGCTCCCCTTGCGACCGCGTGCTAGACAGTTCCGTGTATTACGGCTTCCGTAACGAACTAAATGCACTTACGGGCGGGTTTTTCCAACCCGCCCTCCCTTTTATTTTCATTAAAGCCCTCGGCAGCCGGAGGTAACAAAGTGAACGAGTCGAGAAGGGGTTAAAAAATGTCTCCCACCTACAGCAGCAGCTGGTCCGAAACGAGAGCTGATGTTGGCGATAATCCTGGTTTCCGCCAAAAAGCGTTGCCTACCAGGCCGTGGTGTGGGAGGGCAGGAGGGTGGGGAGAGCAAGTAGAGGTGGAGTGGGTGGGGCGGGGATAGTAAGCAGGGGCAATGTGAGGGGAGAAGGGAGTGGTAAGGTGGGAGTGGGGAAGAGAAGGCGACTGAGTTAGGGTGGGGAGAGCAGCGGGCGATCGTCAAAGGCTCGCTTTGTCGCCTAATGAAGTACATAATGAGAGCACTCTTCGGCATTCAAGTTCGCGTTAATATTCTGTGGAAACCTTTTCTACGCGCCGATACGTTACCGTGTAGTGTTTCCAAAGTAGCTGCCACTGTCGGGCGTCGCTGGGGAAATTTGATGGGATATATTTTACAGGATAATAAAGGGAACATTCTGAAAGCAATTAGCAATAGCTCATATATGATATTTTCGGTTCAATGTTTCCTTTTCAGATCAATTTCATTTGTCATTAAAATGTTAAAAACACTCGTTCAATATAATGAGAGAAATCTATGTTGAAAACCCATTGAAAAAATTTAATAAAATTTTGTGATTTGGTTTTGCCATTCACAATTTCTCAAATTTATTTTCACCAGCAAGATCTGTAATGGCATTCAGAAGTATTGCTTTTGGACTACTTATTTTTATTCTATTTTATTTTTCAGTCCATTGACTACTTTGAGTATGTACGACCGTAGTGTTGCAATACTATCAAATGGCTGCGAATTCATTCGAGTAACTGGTTGGTATTAAATAATTAAAATTTAAAAATTAATGAATTATATATTAGTTAATATTTTAAAAGGAGTTCACAATTTTCGGAAGAAAATTAATTATTACTTCATTATTTTACATTTTATTGTTTTTGTATATTTCTTGTATCGTAAGCTTGCTTTCCACTCGATTTCTGTTAGGTATGCGCTGCCGTTCGCGCAAATACGTACACGAAGACGCACTCACACGCACGCACACACGCATGCACACACACGCTCACATGCATGCACCCACACCCACACGCGCACATACATACACGCGCGCACACACACACGTACACACATTTCAACATTTTCATTCCAGCACTTATATAGCACGTATTACACTTTTGAATTTTCTTTACATTCTCAGTACATCATCCTTGTTTGCTAACAGAAACACTGTTTACCAAAGTATTATATTTTTAAGCACAATCACTATGAATGATAATCGTGTTATTGGTGTCGACAATACTTTTCTTCAATCACACAATATGTATTCTTTTTATCACTTACTTTTTAATGTGTATCACATTTTCCTTAAAATTCAGATCTTTTCCAACTCGTGCAGTAAGTACTCATATTATTGATTCAACCTTATAAAAAACAAAATTCATAATTATTTCATTATTTCACCGTGCCTTTTTGATTAAGTAAGTTTCATACCTCCCTTCATAGATTGCTAAATTTCTCTCATGAAGACTCTTTTCTCTGCCAAAAAATAAATAATCATTGAAAGTATTTCAAAATTTACATAATAATCAACTATTGCCCTCAACACAAAGTATATTGCAGTTATAATGAACTAGCTGGAAAATGTATTAGGCAATTTCTTACCTATTATGATCAATCTGAATATGTTAACATCTATGTAAATCACTTTCAATTTGCCATAAATGAACTAATTTGCAAAATGTTTAACTGTACAATACACGATATTGCGGATGTAATATACACACGTATACACGTTTTAAATTAATTTCCATGAGTTAATTAAGCACTGATAAAAATAGGGCGTTTACAGTGATTAGTAATTCTTATGACGTGTATGGAAGTTTCTTAACTCTTATTGTAACAATGGTGTATTGAAATCCAGTTGCTTGTGTTTTGTATAATTGTAATTCCTTTGCTAGATCTTTGCGTTCTGAATAAGTGTGGTTGTCTTATTCAGTAAAAAGGTTAAACAGCGAATACTATCTCTCCAAATGCACTGTATGTTGGTGCAGATATCGGAAGACCATGTCTAAAACGGAATCTGCTAAGACAAATTCTTACAGATCAGCAACATTGCTCTTTGCTAGCTTTCTAAGCAATAGGGCTTCATTCGATCCTGCTGTCTGCATATTTTCTGTTTACAAGATACAATTCAAGAACTTTCTACTTGTCAATCAAATACCTGAAGAGCTACATGCGAGTGTCCTCATTCAATCGATGACGCACAACTCCAATTGTTAACCTATTTGCTGATACGTGAAGATTACGATGCCATTGAAAAAAGGCTCGAACGTTGTGTGTGAACTTGCAGCCTCCTACACTTGAAGTGCGAGAGCGACAAAAATTCTGCAGTCATCAGGTCGAAAGGGAGTCGCTAGTTGAGCTTGTCGCGGTTGAAAAAAAGGCATCAACTTGTAACTTCAATCCACATTTACCGACGGCAGTGCGCGGGTGCGCATTGAAAACTCACACGTCGACTAATAACCGTACATGTAATTTTATTTCTTGAACCCGTGGATGTCTATCTGCACTTGAAAGTGGTGGACCTGCGCTTCAGCCTGTAGTCTCTGCGGCAATGGCGATTGAACATGGGCAAGCAGATCAAGGTACAGACAAATCAGAGCGCCATGGGGCGAAGCCTTGCCATCGCTGCGAGGGTAACCGCCACCTTGCACTGAATTGACCGCATAAAAGTTATAATTGTTGTCGAAAGGCTGGCAAAAGGGACCCGGGGCGAAATTCTGCCGAAGCAAAGGGTCTCCTGGGAAGCGAGTAGGCTCCATTTTCCGTCCATCAGCGTCGCCATGGGAATCCGTTCAACTCTATCTTGATAAATTCTACACCATCCACGATGGAGCTCGATCCTGGAGTGTCCTACAGCCTACTGGGCGAGACAGATTGGCGGCTTTTCGGTGCGGCAACGCGACGATCGCGTGTAATTAGACTGAATACTTACGGTGATCAACGTTTAGCGGTGATAGACGAGTTTGAAATCACCGCCTGCCTTTTCGCTACGGTGCCAACCCTGGTGGTGCATGCTCCGGGATATCCTTCGTTGTCTGGGCGCGTCTGGCTGTTTACGTTTTTTGTAGATTGGACGTACTTATCCCAACCCTTACAATCGTCTGTCCATCATCTTTCGCTAAAAGAAGCAGACGTCATTGCATTGGCGTTTATGGTGTTTATGTTGGCGGTGGAGTTATTGGGTGAAAAAAGATAATTATTTTGCTCAAGGTTGTAAAAGAACACAAATGAGAACATTTTTCCCAAATATTTGCCGAAACTTGGTGAAGTCTTTAAGTGTTAACAGACAACCTGTACTCCAGAAAGAAACACTCAAGAGAAGCCTTTTTTTTCAAGCAAGCAGATGTCCAGAATCAGAAGATGAAATTCCTCCCAGAAGTTCTGTGATTGTAACCGTTCACCGTTTTCCATTAGGGTACTGTACGACCCCGCACGCTGAAACGGTTTTAAGACAGTCTCAATTTCGGCTCAGACGCACAGTTCGTACTCCGTGGGACTTACTGCGACCATTAGTTGTGGAAGAAGTTTCAAAGAAGCAGGACGTTTTTTAAAAAAATATTAATATTTTGGATGTGATACATTGGTCAGTTGACAGTACAACTTTTTCACATGTCTTGATGCTTACTATCTGCTTAAAAAACTAAACTATTGTTTATTTACCGTTAATTGTTAGGGAGAGGAAACCCACTGAGCACCTCACAAAGAATCATCAAATTTCAAAATTGTGTATAAAAAACATGTATAGGAAATCTATTTTTTATTCTGGTGGCATTTATAGGTACTTTGCCTAGATTGATAGTTGTGTAATTGATGTCATATTATTGTAACAATTATGGTATAAGTTAGTGATGTGATGTATGATAAGTTTTATTAGAATTTCTTTATGAAGTTGTTTGTTTGTGATAAACTAGGTTGTATTGGTTATTGATCGCATGAATTTATTCTGTATGACCTGTATTTTATGGATATTGCTTTTTGCTGCATTAATCCAGACAGGAAAAGCATAG